CTGGACATTTCCCCACCAGACACCTACCAGGATCTAGACCCTGCTCCTACTGAAGAGATATTCATTAAGTGCAGAGAAATTACAGCCTTAGGGGTGGTTCCACCTATTCGCCCTTCTCCTCTGAGCATTCTTCCCATCACCGCCATCATTCTTTCAACATCTGCTACTTCTGAAAAGATTTTACCTACTGAGGAGGTCATTCATCTTGACTCTCCCTCTAGAGATGGTGATGCAGCTAATGATGGAAGAGAGAACAATAGGCTAGCTGGTGATGATGGAGCAGGCAATGGATCTGGCACAGGAGAGGATGCCGCATGATATCATTCTGTTGACTTTTTGTAATCTCTCTCTTTTTTTTCTTTTTTTTTTTTTAAAAAAAAAAAAATGTCAACTCATATACTTCAAAAACTATTTTGTAATGAAATGACAATTCTGTTTTGCCAAACTTCTATTCTTCAACCTGTACTTGAATGAGTTGATAGTTTAATTTTTCCATTTTGGTTCTTATTTCGCACAAGTGTTTGGTGTTCGGCTTGCTGTGCAAGTGACTGGTGCTCGACTAGAATGCCATTTGCCACTTGGCATTATTCTGTGCAAGTGTTTGGCATTCGGTTCGTGGTGCTAGCTACCACTTATACTGCTAAGTGACTGGTGCTCAGCTAGAATGCCACTTGCTACTTGGCATACTATTTGGTGCAAGTGTTTGGTATTCGGCTTGTAGTGCTAGCTGCCACTTTCATTGCTAAGTGCTTGGTGCTCGGCTAGAATGCCACTTGCCACTTGGCATTTTTTGTGCAAGTATTTGGCGTTCGGCTCATAGTGCCAGCTGCCACTTACATTGCTAAGTGTTTGGCGCTCGGCTAGAATGCCACTTACCACTTGGCATTTTTTGTACAAGTGTTTGGCATTCGGCTCGTAATGCCAACTGCCACTTACATTGCTACGTAATTGGCACTCGGCTAGAATGCCACTCGCCACTTGGCATTTTTTGTGCAAGTGTTTGGCGTTCGGCTCGTAGTACCAGCTGCCACTTTCATTGCAAAATGCCTGGCGCTCGGCTAAAATGCCACTTGTCACTTGGCATTTTTTGTACAAGTGTTTGACGTTCGGCTCGTAGTGCCAGCTGCCACTTACATTGCTAAGTGTTTGACACTTGGTTAGAATGCCACTTACATTGCTAAGTGCTCGGTGCTCGGCTAGAATGTTACTTGCCACTTGGCATTTTTTGTGTAAGTGTTTGGCGTTCGGCTCGTGGTGCCATCTACCACTTTCATTGCTAAGTGCCTGGCGTTCGGCTAGAATGCCACTTGCCACTTGGTATTTTTTATGCAAGTGTTTGGCGTTCGACGTTCGGCTCGTAGTGCTAGTTGCCACTTTCTTTGTTAAGTGCCTGACGCTCAGCTAGAATGTTGCTTGCCACTTGGCATTTCATTTTCATTCATTCATCATCATTCATTTTTAAAAGAAAAATATTCTTTGCTCGGTTCAATTTTTAAGACCAACTAAATTTCTTTCGTATATCCATGCAAAGCCTATACATTTATAAGAGCAAAACTTCGAATGAATATTACTTAAAATGCAATTCAATCTTTCACTGGTAATACCTTTTCAGAGACGTGGCATTCCATGGCTTGTTGACCAACCTTCCAGCCATGGTCTCTAACATATATGCCCTTTTTCCTATGGCCTCTACCACTCTGTAAGGGACTTCCCATGGTGATATCATCTTTTTGATAATCCCCACCTTCTTTTTTAAGACCAGGTCGCCAGGTGTAAAGTCTCTATACTTCACCCTTTTGTTGTGGCTATTCATGAGTGTCTACTGATAGGATACTAGCCTTATCACCACTGTATCCCTTTTTTCCTCTAGCAGATCAAGGTTAAACCTCAACATGCTATCGTTCTGCTTTTGACTCCATGCCAAACTTCGAACAGTTGGAACTAAATGTTCAACTGGTATTACTACCTCAGTGCCGTACGCTATAGCGAATGGGCTTTCCTCGGTTGGCCATCCTGGGTTGTTCTGTAAACCCATAAGACGTTCAAAAATTCATTCAACCATTTTCCTTTTTCATCTTCAAGCTTCTTCTTGATGGAGGCAAATATTGTTCTGTTCAAGATCTCAGCATGACTGTTTGCCTGCGGTTGGCTGATCGCTGCCAACTTTTGATTGATTCCATACTCTTCTAGCAACTCCCTCACTTGCTTGCCGTCAAGATTAGTCCCATTGTCTATAACAATCAACCTTGGAACACCAAAGTGACAAATAATATTGCTCCAGATAAAACATCTTACTTGAGTCTAGGTCACGCTAGGATATGGCTCTGCCTCCACCTATTTGGTAAAGTAATCCGTTACTAGCAGAACGTATTTGTTTTGTTACCTCGCGGTCGGCAGAGGGTCAACCACATCCATCCCCCATTGTGCGAAAGGCCATGGTGTGGCCATTACGTGTAAGTCTTTACGTGGTTGGTGGATCAATGATCCGAACCTCTAGCACTTATCGCATCTTCTAGAGAATTCTTCTGTATCCCGCGACATGTTCGGCCAAAAATACTCCTGCGTCATTGCTTTATGCACTAGAGATCTTCCTCCTGAATGATTGCCACACATTCCCTCATGAATGGTTCGTAAGATCTGCCTAGCCTCTGTGGAGGTAACACATTTTAAGTATAAACCCAAAAAAGACCGTCTGTACAACTAAATGTGCACAATAGCATATTTTGCAGCATTCGACCTGATCTTTCTTGCCTCATCTTTCCGTTCGGGTAGCACATTATCCCGTATGAAAGTCATAATTGGGTCAATCCAGCTCGGCTTGCAGGGTATGACATTAACTTGCCCAGCGTCTGAACCAGATGGCTCACCAAAGATAGATGGTTGGCATAACACATCAACTGGAATGACCCTAGCAAATGTTTCTCCAGAACTGGATGCACTATAGGTCAATCGATCGACATCTTCATTGTATTCCCTTAGCAACTGGATAAATTTAATCTGATCAAATTTTTTTGCTTTGCGCAGAATGCCAAATCGGTAGGCTTCCATTATCTCATCCTTGGTTTCATACTCCCCAGTCACTTACCAAATAATCAACTGTGAATCACTTAAAGTAACTAAACTTTTGATCTTTAACTCTTTAGCCAGCTTCAGTCCAGCTAGCAGTGTTTCATACTCAGCCTCATTATTGGTTGCACTGAACTCAAGCCTGACCGCTTGGCTCAGCGTGGTGCCCTCTGGTGTTTGAAGTTTGATCCCAATTCCTACTCCCATTTGATTTTCCATAAAGAGCCTCCATGATTTTCTTTCAAGTCTTCTGCATCACATTTTAGCAAAAAATCAGCCACTGCTTGACCTTTGATGGCCATTCTGGGTTCATATGTTATGTCAAATGAGCTTAACTCTATGGCCCATTTTGTCATTCTGCCTGACAGTTCTGGCTTATACAGGATCATCCTTATAGGAAAGGTGGTCAGAACGATAATAGGATGGGATTTAAAGTAGTGCCTGAGTTTTCTTTTTGCATGCACCAATGATAGGATCATTTGCTTAGCCTTTGAGTACCTTTTCTCTGGCTTGGCTATTATTTTGCTAACATAGAATACTGGGAACTGCTTTCCTTCTTTGTAACAGATCAGAATAGCACTTGTTGCAATGGTGGACACACCAAGATACATAAAAAGCTTTTCACCGGGCTCAGAAGCAGATAAGACTAGAGGGTTCTGCATATATTTTTTCAAGTTGGTCAGTGTCTGTCTTTACTCATCCCCCAGGTTTGCCTTCCATAACCTCGTATTGTATCAAAAAATGGCTTACAGTGATTTGACAACTTAGAAATGAACTGACTCAATGCGGCTATTCGGCCTGTGAGTGCTTGCACTTCTTTGACCGTTTTTGGTTCTGCATTCTTCATCAGGGCTTCTGCTTAGGCTGGGCTAGCTTTATTTCTTCTATAATTGACTACATGTCCTAAGAATTAGCCAGAGCTCATGCCGAATGAGCATTTGGTTGGACTAAGCTTTATTCTATACCTCATCAATACACCGAATACATTTTGCAAGTGGTCCAGGTGATCTTCCTTCTTCTTACTCTTTACCACCATGTCATTAATGTAAGCCTCTACAGTTTTCCCCATTTGATTCTTGAAAATCTTGCTGATCAAACTCTGATAAGTAGCTCCAGCATTTTTCAGTCCGAATGGCATAACCTTATAGCAGTAATTTCCTCGTTCGGTGACAAATTTTTTTTTTCTTCATCAATTGGGTCCATAGGGATTTGATTGTAGCTTGAGTAAGCATCTAGGAATGTTAACTGTTCGTATCCAGTAGTGGTATCCACCATTTGGTCAATCTTTGGCAACGGGAAGCTATGATTTAGGCAGACTTAATTCAAATTAGTGAAATCAATACATACTCTCCATTTCCTATTCTTTTTCTGCACAACTGCAACATTTGAGAGCCAGAACGGGTAATGAACTTCTTTAATGAACCCTGCTTTCAGCAATCGATCAACTTTTTCAGCTATGATTTGATTGCATTCTGGGGTGAACCTTCTCTGCTTCTGCCTTACAGGCTTTACGTTCAGGTCCACATTGAAGGAATGACAGGACACGGAAGGGCTGATTCCTGGCATGTCCGAATGGCTTCAAGCGAACACATTGGAGTTCTAGGACAGGAAATCGATTAACCTTTGCTTCTCCCCTTCTTTAAGTCGGGATCCCACTCGTGTGGTTCGGTCTGGCTGTTCATGATTGATCTACACATCAATGAGAGGTTTTTCAGTCAGGACCGAAGGCTCTTCCTCCCCACTCTTGTTGGGTAGAGGCTCCTGTAATTGTTATCTTGGGCTGGTAGAACATATGAGAGCTTTCCCCATTCCACAGACTTCAAAGTCACAGAATAGCATTCCTTGGTCGCGACCTGACCTCTATGGATATCAATCACTTTGTTCCCATCTGGGCCCAAATATCTCATTATTTGATGCAGAGTTGATGGAGCACCCTAGACCTTGTGGATCCACCATCTTCCTATAAAAAAGTCGTAAAATGGATGGATCTCAACGACCACAAAGCACTCTGTCAGAACTCTTTCAGCAGCCTGTACTGTCAATTCCACCATACCAATAGGCTCCACCCATTTCCCATCGAACCCTAGCAACGGATATCCTGTAGGTTTGAGCCTTTCCGGCTTGATCTCAAGCCGGTCAAACATTACTTTAGGCATGACATTCGCACTTCTCCCTGGATTAATCAGAACCCTTTATACCAAGTGTAACGACCCACTCCACCATATGGTATGATATTGTCCGCTTTGGGCCTGAGCCCTCACGGTTTTGCTCTTGGGCTGCGAGAGATACTGTCAGGCTACCACACTGGCGAGCTACGGGTGCACAGTCCCATATCGCCTGGGTAGAGGAAAGGTGAAGTGTTTATATGTAAGTGCATCATCTCCAATTGGTATGAGGCCTTTTGGGGTGAAGCCCAAGAGCAAAAACCGTACGGGCTCAGGCCCAAAGCGGACAATATCATACCATGTGGTGGAGTGGGCCGTTACAAATGGTATCAGAGCCTGACCCAGCCGGAAGTGTACCGATGAGGACGTCGGGCCTCCAAGGGGGGTGGATTGTGATAACCTTGTGGGCGGGTGTGCCGTAGGTGGGTGCGAGAGACACTGTCAGGCTACCACACTGGCGAGCTACGGGTGCACAGTCCCACATCGCCTGGGTAGAGGAAAGGTGAAGTGCTTATATGTAAGTGCATCATCTCTAATTGGTGTGAGGCCTTTTGGGGTGAAGCCCAAGAGCAAAACCGTGAGGGCTTAGGCCCAAAGCGGACAATATCATACCATATGGTGGAGTGGGTCGTTACACCAAGCACTCTGCAACCGTCAAACTGAAGACCAGCGAATCCTCATGAGGGGTCTGAACGCGCAACAGGTCAGTTCTGTCAAACTTTATCTGTGCAGATGTGTTCTGCTGGTGCAGAGCATGCACACTGCCTATCCTCCTCTTCATTTGTGCTTGGCGGAGACGTGTTCTGAATAGCTCATTTAACTATGCTGTTTGTTTAGGTAGGCCATGAATTACATTTATAATCCGAACGGGCTAAGCGCTATGGTAGTTCGACTTCTAATTTCTCTTGACTTGCTCAGCCGGTCGGTTCTGCTCCTATGCTGACCCTTGAACATATCCTGTAAATTCTCCTCTTGTGATCAACATCTCCACTTACCTCCTTAAGTTCCTGCATTCATTAGTCTAATGACTAAAGTCATTATGAAAAACATAATATTTAGATTGATCTCTCTGTTCGAAAGGTTGTTTGATTGGTAATGGAGTATGAAACTTATCTTTGTTCTCTTGATACAACCTTGCCAGAGTGACTTTGAGTAGAGTAACCAACTCCTCCTCTTTAGGCCTCTTTTCTGCCTTTCAGGAGGTCTGACGTTGTGGTGGAGCTTATTTTTGCCAGATCTTGGTTTTGGACTTCTTTTCTATTGAAATAATTGATGTCTTCCTTGCATTAGCTGCTTTTTCTTCCTCCAAATGCACAAAACCGTTAGCTCTCTCATTCAGTTCATCTATGGTCTTCGGCGTATTCACCACTAGGCTTGTATGGAATGGTATCCCTCGGTTCATTGCAAGTTTGAACGCTTAAACCGCTATGGATGGATGACATTCCATTATTATACTCTTGACGAGGTTGAACTTGGTGAGGAAAGCTTGGAGTCGTTCATCTTCGTGCTGCTTCATTGTAAAAAAGGCTTAAAACATCTTTAGCCGAGCGCTTATTCCCATAATATTGGCTTATGAACTTGTCACACAAGTCTTGGAAGCTAGCGATGGAACCTTGAGCCAGATTCTTGAACCAATTAAGGGCTGGCCTAGCCAAACTTGTAGGGAAGCACTTGCACATCAAAGGATCTTGTTCGTGTTCAGTGCCATTTTCAACTAAATATGGTAAATGTGATCGATCGGGTCAATTGTTCCATCAAACATAATGAAAACCGGCATGGAAAACTTCCTCGGATTCGGAGCATTCAGGATTTTGTTAGTGAATAAAGATGCAACCATTCTTGCTGATGAACAGAATACTTCATTCTCCCTTGAAAATCGTAGTAGAATTCTCTGATCTGCAGATTTCCTTTCTGAATTCCTGAAGTCATACGTTGCCATTGAAGGCTGGTAGAGTGGATCAAATGATCTTTCCTCCGTGAATTCTCTCTACCACGGGGACGTAGCTCCATTATGGCCAAACTCCATAGCTTTATCATGCCTTAATCTTCCTTAACTTCGATCAAACGCTGTGGTATCTTCTCGTATGATTTGCTCACAATGCGGATTCAAGTGGATAGATCCCTCCCGATCCTCCATCTGACTGGCATTTGGAGGTAAATTGCCTGGCACGATCTCCTCACGATGAAGATCCATGCAATTGTTTCCTTTTGAATCAACTTGATAAGCAACATTGGATTGCAAAACTCCCTCTCTTACTCGAAGTGGTCGTGGAATGGCCGGAGTTTCTGGACGCTCCATTCCAGCTCGCAATTCTACATTCTCTCTTCTTAAGGCTTCGATCATGCTTATCAATTCATCGAGCTTCAACTGCTGGCCATTCTCTAGTGGATTTGAGCTCTCACCTCCGATCATCATTCCTGATCGGAGCAAAGTTATTAACTATTAATTTCTAATCAGATCTGAGCTTCGCTAATGCAAACGCACTAGATCTAAACTCAAACTTGCTGAATTCTGATCTCAATTGGCTGGATCTGAATCGCTCTTACGGTGAGCTTGTCAAATTCAGCAATCCAAACAAATCTCAACTGCGTAGATCAACTAAACAAGCACAGATTATAACTGTGTAGATCAGACGCCAATCTTTCAAAATTAACTGGAATTAAAACTCTGCAAGTTGAATCACGATCTCTCTGATCTGGATTCAACTTTTAGAGATGAAGCTCTTTCTTCACGAACTAGCCTTGATCAAATCTATCTTGATCAAATGCAGATCAATCCTTGTCATTTCCTACTGACAGTGCCATTGAAGATGTAAGAAATTTTCATTCCCAATATAGAAAGAGAAACTCTACACTTCAAAGATTTTTCCCCCCATTTTCCCTCTATTTTCAGTCTATTTATAGACTGTTACAGATCTTCTAGAAACTTCCTAACTAACTTCTTGTATTGGGTTGCTCTTCTAGGCTTCTTTTAGTGTTCCCTTCGCCTAAAACCAGACCTTAAACATGGTTTTTGTAACACCCCCACATTTTCCACGCATAAGTTGATCAGGCTTATACACGAAAAACGAGGGATATCAAAAACAATTGGCAATATACAAGCATGGAATACAAAATGATGATAATAAAAGAATTTAGACCGGAAAGGAACACTAAATAATACAACATCCATCCATCCTTTATTTAATACAGTACTTCATTACAACTTGGAAATCCTACGTCAGGGATCCCTAAATATAACCCTGAGAGTTCAACGTCAAAAGTAAATAAAAACTGAAACTGAAATACTACATAAAACTTCTACCCTGCACTGGATCGTAGGAGTAGATGAGTTCGGATGATGGTCCCACACTGCTAACCTCAGCCTTGAAACGGATACTGACCGTATCCTGAAATAACAACAATGGTGGGTCAACCCCACGAGCAAGTCCTCTCTACTATGACCCAAATCAGAGAATCCAATAAATTAATCATTATGAATCGGATGAGTACTATATCTGTATACATCCTATGGGAACTATCCGATGTATAACATGACCTCAACCAGAATAGACGGTGATCACTTAGACTCACACTAGGTGGTTAAGTGTCGCCTTTCCCTACCCGGGAAATCAGCTATTATACATGGTGCACGGTACTGACAACACAGACTATAACGAACTACACAGTGATAACACCTCGCAAAGTACTGATGAATATACTGAGCATATAAATTAGGCAACACATGCCAACAATATTAAGAAATATACCGAGTATGTCAATTAGGCAACACATGCCAATAATATTAAACCACATACCCCGACAGCCACACATCTGTCTATCGCAACGAATGCATAAGGTATAAATGAGTCTAAACTTATTAGTCAGCTCACATGGTTCTATATGGCAACACATCCATATAATATAAATGCGACATAATAAACAGTCCATTTATTCCCTGAAATGCACACAGCATAATAATCATGGTTTATATACGATTAACAGTATAAATATTCCATAATATATAATGGGTTATTTATATGAAGAAAACCAAGCACTAATTAATTTAACATTAATGGTTATTACAGTTTAATAAAATAATACCATTAATAGTCGTTAAATCAATTACATATGTTTACTAGCGATTCGCACCTTAACTGATACAATTAATATTTAGAAATATTAATCGGACAATTATAATAATTAACGAGAAATAAAATAATAATATAATGTCCCGTTAATTCCAAAAATGCCAACCCGAGGCCCCAAAATGTATAGTGAAGGTCCTGGTAATGACAAAACAGTCCCTAGGGGTATTCTGGACTTTTCCAGCAGCCGCAGAGGCCCTTCACGCGCCCCCACGCGCCTCCTAGAGCTCCCCACACGCGCCGCCAAGCTTTCCCCCTCTCCCACGCGCCTCCACGCGCGTCTGGCGTCAGCCACGCGCGCACACGCGCTCCCACGCGCGTTTGGAGAGTCCCACGCGCGCGCACGCGCTGCCACGCGCGCGTTGATGGCTTCCTGCTGACGTGGCGTTCTCCGGTTGGTTGGCTGCATCATCCTTCCTACATGCGCGCCACACCGGATCATCTCACCCTATCTTCCCTCCATCCAACGCCCACAGATCCGGGTGTACCGCGGTATCATGGACCGCGATGCACCGGATCAATCAGACTCCACTAATGGCCAGGATGCGCGCGTACACCCTCCTATGGTGTGCCGCGTCGCACCGGATCACTCCGGTCGTCTCCCCCACTGCCGGCGACCGGAAAACTCGCCGGAAGGTCGCCGGAAATTGCAGAAAATGCCCGGAAAAATCTAGAAAATTCTAGAAAAATCCCTAAAGTCTTATTTAATTATTTTTAGCCATTATTAATTTCATAGGACATTAAATAAATATATACCATCCTATATAATTAAAATTCCATTAATTTAATAAAATAAAATTAATAATTTATTAACCTCCAAACCTTGGCTCTATGCATAAAAATAAGCTAAACAATTAATTTATTAATTCAAAGGGGAAAAGTAGATAATAACTTGCCTTTTTGGATTTAAAATAAATCCGCCGGTCTGCGCGTAGTCGGGTAAAATTGCCTACACCGGTCCAAGCTTCTTTCTCTTTCTCTTTTCCTTTCACTCTTATAAAATAGCTCTCTAGAATTTATACTTTGCTTCTAACTCCCTTTATTTTTTCTAAGGCAAGCTAGTTAATTTATACACAAAATATATAATATAAATATTACAAATATCTAATTTATAATAACTTCTCACCCATTTCTCATATTCCTACCTATATGGCTTTAAGACAATGCTATCTTTAATCAAGATATTTGATCCACCATTCTACCATAGTAAATGAAATTCTATCCTAGTATTTAATTTTCCATCATTACATTGATTTATTATAACTATTATTATTATTATTACTAATATTATTATTAATAAACTTTTATTATTATTATTATTATATTCTTATTATTATTATTATTAAACTAATATAATTATTATTATTGTTATTACAAAATAATATATTATATTATCATAATACTTTATAACACAAATATAATACTCTAATTAACTAATATTGCTTAATTAAACATAATCAACAAATAAAAGTAATTAAAATAATACATGCACAATTAAATGAATAAATTTACTATTTTAACATACACAATTAATTTACATGCACAATTAAATGAATTTAATAAAATAATGTAGTATGCACAAATAAATAAAATTAATTAACCTAACACAAAATTAATTTAAATACATTCTTTAAAATTACGGGGTATTACATTC